GTAATACCCAGTAAACTAAAATACTCCAATAAAAAAATTACTTTAAGGAACCTGCTTAAATGTTTAAATAAAGTTTGTAACTTCTAAAGAAAACATGTTTGTCTTTAACTAGACTGACTGGTATTATTTGAAACTTGAACAAATATATTATTTATATCACCGATAAGCAAATAAATGATAATAACTTGTGGAGCACTTGCAAAAATTGTTATTCGCTGCCAGTATTTGATATTATGATTGTACGTCTGATGCCGTGAGAGATAATTATAATCTTTCGCTAAGGTCTTTTGTCCAAATCAATGATTATTACTTTTACAGTTACATATAATATTCCTCTATAGAGTCAGCTCTTTCAAAAAATAAGAAGCCGTATCACAAACTACATGTTCTTATGGGCACTCGTTGGGCTATGACATATGGATAGTGTACATATGTTACCGTAGCTAGTGTTTTTTTACATGATACAACGTGCTTCAGAGGTAATAATGGCTAGACACATAAAACTGTAAAGATGACTTACGATTTCATAATATACTTTCTGATAACAAGTCATATCAGTTACACTTATCCCGAGTATCTATTTCCGTTAATCAACTCATTCAAATATTATCTACAAATCGCTATTGAATGAACATTATTACAATAGTAACTTTTCGAAGAATTTTAATCTAAAATCTTCATCCTGATATAGAAGCAAAAATATATAAAAATGCATATCTATTTTTTTATATGGTTTTTTCATATTGAATCTTTCGCAATTTTCGTAAAATATTTACCGCAAGAACTAGAATCGGTAAGAATTGTTTTATGACTCGAATAAATTCTTATACAAGCAAAACCAACGATATACGAGACCACAAAACCATCCCAATTCCATATTCGATCCCTTCCTTTTTCATTACTATGCATCAAAATCGATACCCAATCTAGAATCAATCATCAGCGCTACTATATCTCTAACAAAAGTCCAATAGAATAAATTATAATACATATTGGTCCAGTAATAGACCAAGAACAACCAATTTCGTATCTTTATATCTCCGCAACTTTATTTATTCCCTTCCCCAAAGTTATATCGATACGACAAAATGATACAAAAGATACATTTCTATACATTTGTATGCAACGCCGGGACGCCTGATATATCCAATTTGCCGACTTGACCATTGTCCGCCGACGACCAATAGAAACGGAGCGGTGAAGATTTCGAGGGTTACCCTGCGCAGACCATTGGTCAGCAAGGGAGTGGTCAGCGAGGGGTGAATCTGACAATACCTGGTTGGGTGAAAAAATCCTGAGATAGGGGATGTTCTACCTGTAAGAAAGCTTCCTTACCTGCCCAGTGCCATTTAGATGGTACAACTGGGGTTAAATTTCGTGAGATATACTGATATTATAAACTTATTTATATAGTTTTATTGACATATGCCGGACTGTCTTTCGCCAAAGCCTTAACCAACTAGGAGCATATCACCATCTGATCTAATCTCGATGACATTTAAAACAACTGCTCGGCCCAATATAACGGGGCACAAAGCGGCGCTGAAATGAATTGCCCCGCTCTCCGGCGACAATACAACCGACAAACAGCTCCTCGGCAAGAAGAACAATTAAAAATACGGGTCGGTGGGACTGGTGATTGCTAATCTCGGTAGGGGCGCGTTATTAGGAGGGGGCGAAGGGGTTGCCGCCCAGTCGTCGAGTGTCATTACGACACCCGGCCGCGTCGGGGGGTGGGTCGACACGCAGCTGTTTTCGGAAATCGATACGTCTCTGCCGCGAAAAATTAGTTATTGGAAAACGCTGCTACTGTCGGGTAGTTCGAGACGTTTAAAAAACTTTCTTTGCCGGACCCGTTATGTTTCGCTAATATCAAAGTTAAAGCAGAAATTTTACGGCTCTGAATAATTAATGATTATTTTTCAAGAGTTTTGTTTTGTATACGATATAGAAAATTTATAAATCTCTAACAGTATAATGTCTAGACTAACAATAAAATTATAAAACTAGACTCACTTACCTTTAATTTAATGAGTTTCTTATCGGCAGCTCGTGAGCTGTGAGAGTAGAATGAATAAATCTCTCCTTTAGATAGATTTAGGGCACCACTGATTTTGATAAAAATGTTTATAAACTTAGATTTTACAATTACCAAAGGTGATAAATTACATCATATAATTAACTAATATTCACTACGATTGAGTGCAAAACTTAAAATAACAATATCTTAGTACTCAGGGCTATACCAAGAATTTACTGTAAACTACTCAATGGAATTAAAAAAAAAAAATCAGATCCCGAACAAGCAACCACCACACAAGTTTTTAACAGAGGGGTAATACCAAACACTTACAGTTTTTGGTCGTATGTTTTTTGTATACTAGCGCTACACAAAAATGTTATTTTCATATTTGATATCTTCATCATATTGTTTTTTTTGCTTAATTGTTGTAATTATGTTCGTATTATTTAAAAATTACACTTGAATTAGATCAGTGACTATAATTCTTGTTATAGTCACTGATTAGATGTATTTTAGTTTTGAACTTTGTTCTCTGTATCAAAAATGTATGATAACGTAACACTTATTCATTTTTCAAGCAAAAAAACTTTTATCAAGAATGCCTTTTTTTTCGTATCTTGCAAAATAAGGTATGTTTACTCTTATTCAAAATAACATTTTTGTGTTTTTGACTCGCCCTGTTCAACAAAATTGAAGTTCGTTATTTGCTAACTAAGCAAAAACTTTTATCAAGAATACCTTTTTTTTTGTATCTTTCACTTTTGGTCCATTTGTCCTCTTGTATACTCAATCCACGGATTGTATACAGGGTGATTCAAAATTCAATACAAAGAATTTAGTGGCGTATTTTTGAGGTCAAAATAATTTTTTTCGTATAAACATGTGTCCACAAATGCTTAGTTTTCGATTTACAGGATGTCAGAGTTCTTTATTCTTTTCGATTTTTTAGGAATAATTTCCTAAAATAGATTTGAATGTATACGCATAAAACTGTGCTCTGGGTTTTTTTGGGATGGTAAATTTAAATATGTCATTGCTTTTGACGCTACTTGTGGAGAGCGCCACCTATAAGAGTACGCTTGAATTAAATTGGCCCTAACTTTTTTGCTACCCTGTACATTGACGTTTCGTATTATTGCGTTTATTCCCCTATCAATTTTAAACAAAAAATGTATACTAGGTCAAAATCTCTCAGCCCAACCATTTCCAAGATATTGGCTGATGAAGAGTTAAATGCAGACCATATTTTCAAATTTTATAACTATTTAGAGTGCGAAAAATTTTAAAATTTATTTTGGACTCACGCTTATAGAAAAAAAGTCTTATTTTCATAAAAAAAAATACGCCCATAAATTCTTTGTACTGACTTTTCAATTAATCTGTATATAAAGAATTATCAGTATCACAGATTATTATATTATGACTACTCAAATTCTGCAGATAATTTTTTCGCAGTCTTTAACAAGCGTTTATCTTTGACGAACCTTTCTTCTCTTTCCTCGTTTATTCTGACAACTAGGCTAGCCTACCTCTCTTAAGCCCATGGGGCGTTATCGTTCACAGCCGCACTTTAATCACAAGCACGAACTTTACTCAAATTCAAAAGAAATATTTCTATAAACTACTTTATCTCAAACAATTTAATTTACCAAACTATTAACCAATTGAATGATTGATGAATTAGGATATTAATGAAACTAACATAGGGTCAATAAGGGTCAAGAAGCAGACACACTAATATGCATTCTCGAAGGATTTTAGTGCGCTGAATCCAAATCTGGCAGCAGAATTGCTCTATCGCATCAGGTTTTTGAGATATCCTAACCTAAAAAAATACATATAATTTAAAAGTACAAGGCTCCCTCTTTCGAATGTCATTGAGTTGAAATTTCTAAGTTTATCAGTTTCTTAATATGCGAAAATCTACTAAGGATCCCTTAGACGTCAAACAGTTGATTGCAGTACAGAAACTTCATACTCAGAAACCTTCAATACTCACAAACTCCAAATCCACAAACCCCAATCCCACAAAACCCGAACCTACAAACTCCAAGCTTACAAACCCCAAGCCCACCAACTCCAAACCCACAAACCGTATGGATATGAAGTTTCTGAATTGCAATCGACTGCTTGATGTCTAAGAGATCCTTAGTAGATTTTCGCATATTAAGAAACTGAGAAACTTAAAAATTTCAACGTGTGATATCTCAACGAAAAAAAAGATATTTGAGCAAACTCTACGGCATTCGAAGGAGGGAGCCTTGTACTTTTAAATTATATGTATTTTTTTTAAAAAGAATAGATGACATTACTACATAACCTCAAATATGACGAAAAACAGTGTTTTTTGCACTTTTAGGTTAGGATATCTCAAAAACCTGACGTGATAGAGCAATTCTGCTGCCAGATTCGCATTCAGCGCACCTAAATCCTTCAGAAATATATATTCAAGTTTCTGCTTCCAAAAAAAGTTAAATTTTGTTGGTCTGTGTAATTAGTTGTAGTGGACTTCGTCAAAAATTATAATAATAGGGGATGTAGAATCAAGTTGACCAATCAAATTATACATTTACTAATCAATTTTTGTAAAGAAAATTTGCCCAACAAAAAATAATCATTAGGCTTTGATAATTGAAAATAAATTGAAATATCATGTAATAGTTTTTTAAGCTCCATCTTAAATTAAGCCGAAAATAAATACCATTTTTACTAAAGCATTTCCTTTTGAAATGGAGAACACTATATTACTGAAATCCGTTGCTCAAATATCTTTTTTGCAATTCAGTTCCTATGAATTTATTAAACAACTTCCGCGTTTGAAAAATATTTAACAAAAACACGCTGGTGGATCTCTCAACACTCTGACGGCTACTTCGAACTGTTATAAGGTCATAACATCACGTCTTTAAGACTTAATAATGTTGTCCCAAGCGTAAGGTCATCCAGTTTGTGATACTTACATGATCTCTTGTTGCAGCAGACGCAGACGGCGTAGAAGGAGACCCCCACCAAGACATCCTCACATGCGGGGTGTGTCAAAAGTCCTTCGCACTCTCGGACATCGTCCGCTTCATCCAGCACAAAGTCACCGCCTGCAACAAGGAGAACTTCGCACAGTGCTACCCCAACAACGACAGGGAGCGCGACAACGACGATGGCACGTTGCCCCTATCCACCATCAACACCAGGAGGCCGAGCATCTCGGCGCCCATCTCCGGGAAGAAGAGCGCCGGCAGCAGGGTGCACACCCCGCCGCCGGCGTCGCCGAGACTGCCCGCCCCCGGCGATCTCTGCGTGGACGGTGCTGCTTCCTCGACTCCCAAGAGGAGGGCCTCGTCACCGCTGACGAGTTCGAGCCTGGAAGAAGACATAAAGCCGAATATTAAGCAGGAGAAGATGGATACGACGATGTCTCCGGAGGAGAATAGCTGTAAGAGGTCGAGGACTGAGGTGGCGGACGCGGAGTCGAATACGACGCATAGTGGTAAGTTCTTGACATTTTCCTAGATCCCAGCCCAAATGTACATACTTTCGCCCGTAAATACGGAAAAACATTTATAACAATTGTTAAATCTGTCCACCGTGATCATGGATATAGACCACGGCGGCTAATCCACAGATTGGGAAATGAATCTTGTAACCAGGTCCTAACACTTAAAGCAGAATAAGCCGTACAACAGTCTTTCTGGAAATAAAAAGAATCTCAGTAGTAAATCTTTCATAAATATTTATTTCAGTTATTTAATTATAACAAATAAATTATATGTTTATACCAAATACAGGGTGGCCAAATGAAAACGAAACAGAGCCATTTTCAGGAACTGCGACAAGATTGTAGAAAAACGCCCAGACCCGTCGATTTTAGATTAAAGGGGGACATTCTTTGCTGGTATTTTTGATTCCGCCACTTTCACCCCCAAGCAAGGGTAAGCATCACCCCAAAATGTTTAAATGGCATTGGAGGTTGAGTAATATTTCTTTTGGAAGCTCTTACAATTCTCTTTACAACAGACTTTAAATTTTATAATTCCGCCCAATACTTTGAAAAAAATTTACATTTTAAAATTTAAATTATGTTTAGTTGCTTACTTACTACTTAGTTGATTAAATGTTCAAACTGATGACCGCCCGCTTCCATACAAGAATAAAGATTTTGTTCGAAACGTTCGCGCACATTCCGAAGCATTTCCGGAGTGATTCGACGGCATTCGTCGACGATTCTTTGACGCAAATCTTCCAGCGACGCTGGCTGTGTTTTATAGATTTTACTTTTTAGGTATCCCCACAAAAAGAAATCAAGGGGCGATAAATCCGGTGATCGTGGAGGCCACTCAATGCTGCCTCTTCTCCCAATCCAATTCCGTAGAAAACGTTGGTCCAAATACTGACGGACAATTAACGCATAATGCGGAGGAGCACCGTCCTGTTGAAAAATCAAATGATCTTCATCATACTCTGGAACATTTTCAATAATATCAGTCAAGGCAGGGTCAATAGCGTCTTCCAGTAATTGCAAATACATTTGGCCAGTCAAATTACCAGGTAGAAAAAAAGGACCCACCAGCCGGTCACCGAAAATTCCAGCCCATACATTTAATTTTTCCGGTTGCTGTGTATGCACCTCGTGAAAAACTCTTGGGTTTGAATCGGACCAATAGCGGCAATTGTGACGATTTACCGTCCCGTTCAAGAAAAAACTGCATTCATCAGAAAAACAGATGTTAAAAAGGAACTGTGGATCGTTCCCTGCTCGCTCACTCATTATTTCGCAAAATTGCAAACGGCGGTCATAATCATCCTCATGAAGTTCCTGGACTAAATGTATTTTGTATGGATGGAATTTATTCTTCTTCAAAATGGTTTGTATGCTAGTTCGATTGATCCCAGACGCAGATGCCAGCTGCCTCGTACTTAATGTAGGATCAAGATGAACTTGTCCCAAAACTGCAACTTCACTAGCTTTATTAACTATAGGTTTTTCAATTTCTCGTTTTTTATTGGCTACGTTCCCTGTCTCTTGAAATTTTTTTACTAACTCTAGAACATACTTCCTCCTGACATGTCGATCTTGATGTTGTTCATTAAATAGCTGAGCTGTTCTATTCGCACATTTATTGTTCATAAAGTAAAGCGAAATGATATCTACCCTTTCCGCAATGGAATAAACCATAGTGTTTAATTTTCAAAAACACAATTAAATAAACTACCAACCAACGCTTCCAAATAATACTAGAAAATAATTTGGAATCCACTAATTTTACGTTCATTGTGTGTGTATAGCATTCATTTCTGTTTTTTACAATTGTGTTTTTTTTTACGAAAGTGATAACAAATCGCCAAAAACCAATGTAACGCAAGAAATACTAAATTTATACCATTGGCGTACTTAACTCGAATGACTGACATTTTTACCGTTACTAATTGTTTGTACATAAGTTTCAACTTTAAAATCAAAATTCTTAATAAGTATTGGGCGGAATTATAAAATTTAAAGTCTGTTGTAAAGAGAATTGTAAGAGCTTTCAAAAGAAATATTACTCAACCCCCAATGCCATTTAAATATTTTGGGGTGATGCTTACCCTTGCTTGGGGGTGAAAGTGGCGGAGTCAAAAATACCAGCAAAGAATGTCCCCCTTTAATCTAAAATCGACGGGTCTGAGCGTTTTTCTACAATCTTGACGCAGTTCCTGAAAATGGCTCTGTTTCGTTTTCATTTGGCCACCCTGTATATCGTCTGATTATAATAAACTATCATCGTGTTGCATTTGTCCAAGTATACCGTTTATTAAGCGAAAGTAAATCTGCATAGCTGGCAGCAAATCGTTCTCTCGGTGTACATGGTTTTGAAAGTCAGTCTAGTAGACACGTCTTACGGATTGACACCCTCCGAGCGTGGACGGGCGAAGGAAAAGTGTCTGCGATTATTAAATATTCCTCGGGGCGACGTGCGCGACGTCGAACGAGCGACAGTTTGTTAATTTAAGCCTTCAGGCCGCTGATATTTGACACCGCGTCGCCTCAGGATACACGGTTCGGTTACGGCTCGAAAATGAAAAAGCTAAACAAGTATTCTCTTACCTTCGGAATTTATTCGCTTATTGGTTTCGCCGAGATGAAGGAATTAAGGATAAAGTTACGCCTAACCTAACACCGGCAAAAATTCAATTAGTTGTAAAAAAAATACTATAAGAACGTTTTAACGACACTAATAACTAGAATGTGATGATAATCCCACTTGTACGCTCATGACACGCACTAACACGCTCAGCTAGCAACTGACATAGGTCGGGATTTCAAGAAGTCAAATCATGTAGCCTCGGTTAGAGAATGCACTAAATTATTAAAAAGCAGTAAAAATTGCGCGTTTTTTAAATAAATTTGCTGTCAATTTTGTGTCTGGTGGATGGTTGTCGCCTTCCGTAACACTCGATATATCAACATATGCGATACAAGCCGTATCTCCATTTCGTCTCTCGAATCTCCAACGAGGAATTATCGCCGCTTTGTCTTTGGTTCCCTATGGAGAGGCACATGTTCTGAAGTTGATGAGCGTTACTATCAACCCCCATATGAATAAAGAACTTTAAAATTCTCATCATGCATCAGTGGGTCTATTAGATAGAATTTATAAGGGTCGCACATGGCAAGGGTTAACTGGACAATACTTTTCGGTCTGTTGTTGCGACACGGACCTATTGACAGGAACGGAAAATCAATAACTTTCAAACAGAACAGTGATGATCATGATATAGATATCATGTTTGAGAATAAATCGTTACCACTAATTGGGTGTTTTTGAATGCAGAGTTTTGTGGAAGTTATATTCTCCAAAATGTGTAATATGGTGTGGTCTAACTTCACTCCCTCTGGGTAGGTAATAGTTTTAACAGTGGCATGTGAGAAAGAGGAACCTACATTTTTACGTAATAAAATAAAGGGAATATTGTGCTAAGAGGTTCGTAACTTCAACTGATTTATATCTATCCAGTCAGTAAAGATTCAATATGATCAGGTAAATTACAACATATTCAAAACAACATAGGCTTAGAACAAATATAGAGAATTTCAATTAAGACGTAAATTCAGTACTTAGGAGAAAAACAAAGAAAAACAAATCAAATCATTAAATGAGTCACAAATATGACTTTTCTTAACAAAATTAGAACTGAATAAAGTAAATACATATAAACATTGTAGCTAGTAAATAAAGATAAAACGCCAGTCAATAAAAAAAACCTGACCTAATCCAATCGACAAAAGATAATTTGTTCTTAGTCGCGTCTGCAAATTTGTTACTGATTGCTATTATGCAAAAGAATATGCTGGAAAATATAAGCTGAAAAATATTAGATGTGCCATTATTCTGATTTAGGTAAAAAGGATAACGTAGTATGGATTAAAAATCTTCTATATTTGAAGGAAATTGGTAAGCAAAAAGAACCTTGACTGTTCTGGAAAGTGAAAATCTACTGGACATGTTGAATTACCTAAGTTATCTCTAGCTGATATTAAGACCTACACATATAATAATAATAATATATCAGTCCTTCGCCATATACTTCTCTACTTCCAGTGTAATCCAAGGGGAGAATACAAATCCTGTAACTCCTACTTAAATTACAGGAAATTATTCACTGGGGTGGTCTTGTGATCACAATCAGTATGAGATTGCCAAAGTATGTTCTTAAGGTTTATGTAATGCATATTTTAGGAAATAATTCACTATTTATGATTATAGTTAGGTATACAGGGTGATTCACAACTTATCCAAAAAAATTTGGGAATAGATGCGGCATGAGAAATGGAATCAATATCGTAAAAAAAATTGTAAAATCCTAAAATCCAAGAAAAAAATATTGAAGTTATAGTACATTCAACCACTACATAGCTGGACAACTGTAGTCTTTAGCGTCATTCGCCACGTGGCCTCAGCGACTACGAATATTGAATTCGGATTTTGCAATCGTCGTTGCGATATTGTAAAAAAAATTTTTTTTAAATCCTTATAGTTTCTGAGAAAAAAATATTGAACTTATAGCACATTAAACCACTACATAGCTGGACAACTGTAGTCTCTAGCGTCATTCGCAATACGCGTGGAGAGCCATGTGACTCCTAATACTGAAATCCGTCGTTGCGGTAGTTTTTACCTGTTATCTGTGGTATTTACATCAGTTTTTTAGTAGTTAGTGTCAAAAATGGCTTGCGTGTATAGCAACTCAGAGTTGATGGATATCGTTTTAATTTATGGTGAAGCAAGACAACATTTGTATTATGGTGAAGTATTTGTGTTATGGTGAAGCAAGACATCATTTGTGTTAGTTCGTAGAAAGTGAGTAAGACGGACCCAAATGTGTTTACACGTGAGTGGATAAAATTTTGAACAATTGCTGTTGCAGCATCGGGTATGTCAAATGATTTTATTATTTAAAAACACAAATTAATTTTATTAATAATTAATAAAGGCAAAAGCATTTGAATTT